GGGGGGGGGAGACAGAAACATCGCTATGAGAGAGACGCATTGATTGGTTGCCCCCCACTCGCACGCCGACCGGGATTTCCAAACTCCGTGCTACCCCCATTTCCTCACCTCATAGACTTAGGTGTCTTTGTGTGTCTTTGTGTCGTTAGGTTTGCTGAAAAGCCCAGTGAACAAGACGGCCCTAACGCTGATTGCTGTGAGCTCCTGCATCCTGGCCATGGTGTGCGGCAGTCAGATGTCCTGTCCACTCACCGTGAAGGTGACTCTGCACGTGCCTGAGCACTTCATTGCGGACGGTAAGAGCCAAGCCTCGGGATGCCCCAGGCCTACCGGGCACCTTGCTCCCCTGGCTGGTCAGGTGTCCTCCATGCATGGCCCGGCCTTAGAATTAAGTGACAGGGGAAAAGGAGCATTCGAAGGCCTTGGGAGAGGCCCTGACCCTTTAGTCCTGGCTTATTTGAATGCAACGAAAGAACTGCTTTTATTCCACGGGCGACGATATGGTTTGTTAGATAAAAATGGAATTCCAATGTGAGTGCAGAAAGACTGGGCCATATCAGAGAACCCATGGTTTCTTATCATGCTTGTGGGTCCCATTCCAAACTAAAAATGCCCCCCTGCAAAACTGTTTTTAGCAATTTAAAAAAACTGACAGAGAAGTGTCTGAGCTTGTTTGGAATTTCCTGAATGTCCTGAAGAAAACTCCTACCTCATTCTCTGTAAATGTACTTTGTAAGTAGCTTATATCCTACCATTTGCTCTTCACTCAGTTAATTTGAATTGATGAGACACTGTAGTCACTATAATCGTTTACAGAGCCTGGTCCAAGAAGCTGATTAGGTGCTTGATATTTATTGCCAACGTGCCCTCCAGAAAGTTGTTCTACGTTAATACTCCAAACCCTTGTTCTTACTTGACACTATTTTCAGATAGACTGAAGTTTGTCATAAATGCAATAAAGAAGGCATGTCTTCAGTATGCAGCTTAGTGCATTTTTACACAGGAGTCCACCTAGATCAAACCATAAAACAATGCCAGCATCTCAGCTTTCTTATGCTCCTTCCCAATTAAGGCCTTCCCAGAGGTAACCGCCATATTGGCATTTTTTATTTTTTTAGAAATATTTTCCTATTGGATATATATGTTTTTGAGATTCTAACCCTATATTTGTCAGCCTTATCTCAGTGTAACTCAATTTTATCTCCTATTTTAAATTACAGTGTTCAGAACTTAGCACCAATTCCTTCAGTATTTTCTGTTCATAGTGGAACTTTCACCTCCTTTCTTAGAGACACCCAGACTTCTATTAATACATCCCATGATTGCTCCCACTTCTCCTTGGTGAATGCGCCCCTACTTGTTTTTCACTTAAACCACAAATGAGCTCAGTATTTCTCATATTATATATATTCAGTTAAGTTTCTGATCTAAGAACAAGGCTTTTGTTTCATGCCTATCAAGTCATAAATGAACAGAAAAAATAAATTAGTGATGGACATTAAAAAAAAAATCAAACGTGAACACAAGACAGGCAAACATGAGTGGGAAGTGGAGCAGGGATGGTGGGGGGAGCAAGAAGGAAGGATATGTACAGAAGCAGAAGCAGCTATGCAAGAGGTGTTGTGGGGCTTGGGGTTGGAAGAATCGCCTGGACCTGGGTGTGGCAGGAGTGCAAGGATGCAAGCTTAAGACCGATGAGACTGGAAAAGTCAATACGTCAAATTTTGACCACTGTCGAGGCCATGTGACCTTACACTTCACCCTCGCTTTTCATTCCTCATTAACTGTAGGCTTCCTTGGAGACATTCAGATTTTCAGTATTTATTTTCATGCACGCACTAATGAAGGTCTTAAGAGGCTATGTAGCTTGCTCAAGGTCATGGTAAATAGTCTAATGACTAAGAAGAGCAGAGGCTATAGAACCCTACAGACATGAACTGAAATACCCTGCTACTTCCGTAGCCACGTGAATGACTTACGTCTCTGAGATGGACAGTGGCCAAGGCGGCTTTTGCCTTTCCCACCGTCCCCCATGGACCTTACGCTGGCTGCAAAGCCCCCAGCCCGCCCTTAGTAGGGAGAGCTCTCGGCCAGCCCGCCCTTAGTAGGGAGAGCTCTCGGCCAGCCCGGTGCACTGGGCTGTCCATGGTGCTGAAATATTGGCCGGGCTGAGGGATCGGATGTTCAGGAAGAAAATGAATTCTGCCGCTCTGCCCTTGCATTACAACATAGTTATACTTGATACTTACTGCCCATTATAGGGAAAGGTCAGCACAATATAGCACTTGTCCAGAGCCCAGCTGGCAAGAGTGATAAATACTGACACAGCCCCCCATCCAAGCCCTTGGCAGATCTCACCCCTTCCTTTGTCTGAGTCTTCTCAAGGCCACCCGTGGCTTTTTGCCCTGCTAAGCACAGATTGAAGAGATGGCCTGGGTTCACATCCAAACTTACTGGATGTAACTCTGGTTGTTTTTGTTTTTTTCCAGCTGTGGCCTATAAATCATCTGCCTTTGGTTCATTCTGGCTGATGATCCCCAGAATAGTGAATCATATGTTCTAGGAGTGGAGCCCAAGTATTAATGTTTTCAGTGAGGGCTTTAGGTGATCCCTTAGTAGAAGTTTGAGAGTTTTATCAATATCTCTGTGTTACTTTCCTTCTATCTAACAGATGTAATAACTCCTTGAGACCCTCTGGGGGCTTTGGCTTCTTCCATCTTTCATTTTATCAATGCCACATTAATGGAGCTTCCTCATGGCACAACTCTGGTGGTTGCCCATAGCACTGCATGCAATGTGAATGATTTGCTAAGGGTTTTATAATAAAGCAGCCCTTATCACGTGGTTTGGGGCCTCACCCAAATTGCCATGCAGGTAGCATTGTTAATGAATGGTAATTGGTTAATATTAAAAACTCATGTTTGTGTATCCCTTGAGGCTCCCAATGTAAGTCAAGATATAGTCACCCCAATATTCCGGCCAGTAGAGTAGGCAGCTTTTAAAGGGATAGGTTATCCCCATTAAGTGGGTGAGATGGTTCCACTCTCATGGAGACAAGTAACACTGCAACTAGAGTTCTCTGTTCTATTCTGGGAGTTGTGCTTCGAGAAGGTGAATGATATATTTGAAGTTACCCAAAGGAGAGGATTTTTTTAGTCAAGATATTGGAAAAGCATTGTAGATACCTAGCACCCTCTTAAGGAAAGGCTGGAGGAGACTCGTTCTATAAGAGTTGAGGGAACCTAGACAAAAAGTGAACTTACTATTATTGAGCATGTCCGATATTCATATTGCAGTTTCAAAAATACTTTACATGGAGTGACTTATTCAGTTCTCATAGCAGAAGAGTGAGACAGGATTTAGCATCTTCATTTTGCACACGTGGGAGGCAAGCCCCAGAGACGTCGCGTGATTATGCCCACTTAACACACAGAAGTGAAGCAATGTATGAAAGTCCAAGCGTTCCTGACCCCTGATCCTTCCATGCCCCACGCTTCCACAAAAATGACCCTGAAAATTATTATTTGCCTGGTTCAGGTTTGTCCTGGAAGTCCCCAGGAAGCAAAATCAGAGCTCTATGGGTGATGAGGGTGGTCAGAGGTGGGAGGAGATTGAGCTTTAGTCTGAAAATATCTTTAAGCTTCTATAAGGTAGGGATAATAGCAGTACTTATCTTACAGAGTTATTGTGATGAATAAATGAAATAATGCCCTTAAAGCTTTTAGCTCAGTACCTGAGGCCCAGTAATGGCTCAATAAATCGTATAAATGTTAGTAGTTGTGATAATATTTTTTTTAATATAGGAAGGGGTCATTGCAAGGTAATGAGTTCCCCATCACAAGGAATTTCTTGAGAATAGATGACCGCATTTCTATGAAGCTGTAGAAGAAAAGTGAAGGAGTGCATTTGGCTTGGGCAGATGGTATTTTGATTCAGAGCCATTTTATCTGAACATAAACTTTAAAAACACTTAATTTTTAGGACTTGCAGACTGTTTGCTCTTTACTGCCTCTTCCAGGAGTGTCATCCTTTCTTTGCCTAAGCTCAGAAATGGAGTGAGACTTATGAGTGGATGAAGACAGGGATGTCTCTTGAACACTTCATGAAACCACACACACACGCACACACACAGTGGTGTGGGATTTTTTATGTTGACATGCCCACTGCATCAAAATACCCTTGCCAAAGTCTATTTCTTAATGTTAAGTTAAATTGTTAGCATCATGTTTGGGGCTTTACTAAGGTGCTATTCAAGGCCCCTCTGTTTCCTATGACTGAGGAATTGGGGTCTAAAGGTTCTTTGCCAGCCTAAGAAATCTTACCAAGTCGAAATGTTCATCATTAGCTGGCCTCGTTTATTAATATGCTACATACACGTGTAGCTGCTTTTGAAGACAGAACTGTATATACTGAATCTTGGTCAACATTATTTGCTCCCACCCCTAATTCATATCTTTCAGCCCGGAAGGGGAGCTAACCTGTGGCCTTGTGCCTTTAATGGGGAATGAGGTTCGGAAATGACTTCGGGGCTTGTCTGCAGTGATTTGAATACGTGGGAGGAGTATCGTCAACTCTTAGAGGGGAAATCACACCACACTGAGGGTGGCTGCCGAGCCACAGACCGGACACCGTGCTCTCTGGAATCATCTGGGGCTTTGCTTTATTTATTTTATTTTTCAATTACAATTGACATTTAATATTATTTTATGTTAGGTTCAGGCATGAAGCATCGTGGTTAGATAACTATATAATTTACCAAGTGACCCCTTATCGTTCAAGTATGCACCTGGCACCAGACACAGTTATTACAGTATTATTGACTGTGTTCCCCGCGCTGCACCCCACATTCCCAGGCTGATGGCAGATCTCTGAGCACCGCGGACCGTGCTCAGGTGTAAAAGTGCTCTACAGTTTGGCCTCTGCCGTTTTTGTCCTTGACTCCTTCGCACACACTTAACGCTGTCTACACAAATAGGTTGCCCTACCTTGTATCTGCCTCTCTATATACATTTTCCTAAATGCTCCTCTGCACCAGGAATGCCCTTCCTAATTTCCATATATTGCAACCCTACCCATCTCTAAGGTCTCATTTAGTTTTCTCCTTTCTCCAAAAAAATGTTTTTTAACAAAACCCCAAAACTTCTTTAAAGAAAACCCCAGTCAAAAATAATCTCTCCTTCCGTGAAAATGACATGGAACTGTATTTCTGCCTTTCTAAGGATCTCGCAGTGCACCTTCCACTGTCGGTGTGGTTAGGTACGTGTCAACGGAGCAACTGTTGAGGTCTTAAGAACAG